GAAAAATGCATTTTGATTAAAAAATAAGAAAAAAATTTAGATTTGTGAATGAAATTATTTTATTGAAAAATATCCAATTGAAAAATAAGAAAGAAAAAATTTATTTTAAAAAAATGAAAATCAAACATATCCTTAATTTTAACTTTTTTTTAGCCAGTTATATAAGGGTATTTGGTCAGGAATTAAGCTATAACTACATGTACCGAAAATCTTCTATTTGATTATAAATTATGAATCGTATAAAAATGTGTGGATAATAAATATGTCAAAGTTATGAATCCTACAAATTTATGAATATAATAAAATTTGACTAATTTATGAACTTTCCCAAACATGTGCTAAGAAATCATGGTTGCTTTCCACTGTTCATATTCGTGTTGCTTATCTTTTACTACTTTAGATGATAGTTTTCTTCAAATGAAGTGAACATATCCTTCTATGCACGTCGATTGATCATTTTAGACGATATGTTATCAATAAAAATTTCGATTTACTTTAAAAGAAAAAGAAAACATGGCCCCACATATGAGTTGGATTGCTAAGATTTACGACTTTGGATGCAATAATTGTAGTTTTGTTTCATAGTTACATGATGAAATGGAGGTCGCAATCAATTGGAATGGAGTACGGATTAGGAGTACGGTTGAAAATTAATTCTCCCACCGTCTGTTCTGTTTGGACTTATCTTTTGTTTATATGCAAATGAAGCCCAATTAATTAGGTCCTGTTTGTGGCCCTTTAATTTAAAAAATTGGAGTGTGGAATAGAGATTAATACTGAAATGTATGTTTAGAAAAAGGAATTTTTTTTGATATATGTATAATATTATTTTAATGAAAAATTTGTGGTTGAAAATGAGTACTGTAAAAAAAATAATGTATTAGAATGTGAGAAAATGGTTGACAAACAAGGGCTTAACGAGGAAATTGCAAAGATTTTTTGAGAGAAGTAAATTTTTTGAAGAACCTGTGATTAACAATATGGAGTAATTACGAAAATAGGGGCTACAAATAGAGGTCGTGCTCAAGTAGAGAAGGTAAAATTTCTTTTCCTTTTCTAAATATTTTTTCTTCTCAAAAGTATAAGCAAATTCTTTGTCGTTTATAAGCACTAACAAAAGGGTAAGCAAAGTTGAAAATATTTTATATTCTATTTAGACATTCTAGTCTTTCTCGACTCCTCGTCAATACAAACAAAAAAATTCTACTGCTCGAACTTGGTAAAAGATCGATAAAATCATGATTGGATGAACAAATCTAAGAAATTATTTATTATGGGTTACAAATTTCATTTTGATGAAAAATGTAGAATTTGGTAGTATTGCTAACGAAATAAATATAATATTTGAGTAAATTGTTTGCGTTAGATTGATCAATATTGAATATAAATAAATAAAAATAAATTTGTTTTGTTTTGCCTAGTAAATGTTTCCGCTGAATCTGCTAACAACATATAGCCCCTGTTTGTTTTCCATTATTTACTTATTAAAATGAAAAATATGATCGTTATTAATCACATCAAGCCACCATATTTGACTTTCTATATCTTGTGTAGGGCACGTAATGGCTATAATTTTCATTTTCATTTTTACATTAATGTGTATCAAATGGGGTCATAAGTGTGTCTCAATAAATACAAAATATTATTGATGATACTTAAGTTAACCCAAACCATGAATCTCAATCATTGACTTGTTCAACAAACTTTAGAACATTTGCATCAAATGAAGGCACCACGTAAATGACAATAAAGAGAGTTGAATGACGAAATTGATAGTGATAATTGTCAACTTGGGCAACTACGCATAAAGAGAGTATTAGTTGTTTGTCGAAATTCAAAGACCTTCTTGTTCATCTTAGTCTAACTAATTGTGACTGTGGTTTGCTTTGAATGTATATACCTATTTGTCGTAAAAATGAATATTAAGTATTCACACACAACTAACATTAACGATATGTTGATAATGTGACTGTGGTTGCTTGTAAGCTCTCGAAATGTTCATATATAGATCTTTCGGTTGAAGCTTATCCTTATTCAATATATTAAAAGGCACTTTTAACTCGATCCCGTTGTACTAGTTCTAGCCCTCGAAGGGTAATATTGGACTTTTGCCAGAAAACACATATTGGTTTGGGTACACATGGGCTACGACTTTGCTAAATCGGGCCAACGTTAGGGCACAAACTATAATGGGCTGCCTAAAATGTTTACTTGGGCAAATTACAGAAAAGGCTTAAAACCAATAAGACCAAAACGGGCCTCGTCCGGACCAAAAGAAAAGATGGCCAGGATATGTAGATTCTCTTATAAAGCCTAAAAAAGCCCATTACAAACGAACCGGACGAGGTCCATCAGTAAATTCCCTTAGACGAATTTAGTCTCTCCACCTACTTTTTTCTTCAGTTTCCATTTTTTACTGAAAAGACAGAATGTGAATTACAGAATTCTTTTAAAAGTCTTATGATATCAAATCGTATTACATTTACAGAATTCTCGATTAAGTAAATGCAATTCAAGTTTTATCATACACCAGCCACTGCCAGTTTACATCTCCATATCACGAGATGAGATCGTACTTGATTAACTTCAAAGAAGGTGATGGCTTGCTTGGCGCCATTCGTGACCTAGCAGCAGACGGCTGATCAAGGCATAATTCGAGTAGGTGATGACATTGCTCGTGTTCATTTATTCTTTTGTGGGCTAGCTATAGGACACTTAGCACGAATAGATCTATTTTGAATGAATAAAGTTTAATCCTCCGAAATCAAAAATGACATCCTACTTGCAGTCAAAGTATCAATGAAATGAATAGCATTTTCATAGAAAAATCACACAAAAAAGGTTCAGACGTTATTAAATATTATACTTTGTCATCTCCAAAACTAGAGTTGTGAATCCGGTTGATCCGACTAATATGCCTAAGAAAATGTCTAACGTGCCTCTATCATAATGTCAATGGGCCCAAACACTCTTATTTGTGGGAACCTATGGCATGATTTCAAGAACGCCTTTGGCTATATGCAACCAACAACTCTACTACGTATACAACACGTCTAAACACAAATTTTTTTTTTTACTAAGAATTCTTTGTATAATTCTACTTTATTTAAAAGTTTTGAACATGTCAAGTCCAACTATATAAACAACACGGTCCACATTTCGAATTGCACTATCAATATTTTGAGACATACCCTTTATCCAAAATAGCTCATGGAACAATCTTACAAAAAAAGCTAGCTCCTAAAGGTGTCAATGAGCTCAGGCTGCTCAGCTAGCTATTGGTCAATGAGTCGTGGGCTAACTCATTGACCAAGGGTCAAGTTCTACTCAACCTTGCTCGTGAAGGGCCGATTTAATTCGAGCCATTCTATTTTTTGCATCAATATTTTATTTTTGTCTTGGTTGAAAATCTAACTCAACTCGATCTCAAAGGGCTGCGGGCTGAACTCATTACGGCCTCTGCCTAGGTTCAGATTCTAGATTGACCAAAAAGTGTTTAAGCCCCCGTTTGATTCCTATTATTTCTTTATTAAAATGAAAAATATGATCGTTATCCATCACATCAAGTCATCAAATTTGAATTTTTATCTCTTGTGTGGAGTTTATAATGACTATATTTTTCATTTTCATTCTTTCAAAAATAATAAGCAAACGAGGGCTAAAAATAATGAAGGAAACACAGCCGTCAATCTCCCATGCTTTGCGATCAAATCACTTCTTCTCGTGACTCTATCACATGAAACGACAAACAAAAACTACGCGGCGCTCAACTCTTTCATTTGAGTAAAATAAAGGCACTTCCCATCGCATATTCCATAGAATCTACCTTTATCCCCTTCTAAACTATTTAAAATACAAATTTTCTTTTGTTATATATATGCCAATATTGTGCTATCAATTATTTATTTGACCAACTACTCCCAATTATGAATTTTTGACAAACAAGTTTGGGCTTTAAAATTGAGTTGGAGAAGTCAACATTCGAGAACGAACTCAATTATCTAAGAATTTGAGAATGCTTGTGAATAAAGACTCACTTTTTAAAGAGCACAATTTTCAATTTTACCTTGAATCACATTTGCATAGTTCAAGACGAGACTTTTGAAATTTATTAGTATTGAACCGTTAAATAGTAGAATAGAAATCTCGTATGACTTTACCTCGAATCACATTTGGAAAGGCTGAACAATAATAAGAATTATCTATTCATGCATATATACAGTCTTGCTAGCAGCCACAGTGTGGGGGTTCGATTCCTGTGACATTGAATTGGACCTCTTGTAGGCGCAGTATAGATGCAGCTCTTGTTCCTTGACCTGATAAGACACATCCCGCGATTTACCTCCCTCACAAAGCTCTAGGGACCAGGACGATGGAGGTCCTCAAGATTGGGGTTCAACTTAATAAACTCTTTTCGTAGAAAACTTTTAACAGAAAATTTTAACGTGCTTGGCTTGTATATCGATGGACCAAAATTACAGAAAGTGCCACGTAATTGCCAAATTAATTCCCCAATTGAAACAAGTTGTTGACTATTCGAAGCTATAATTCATTAGCCAAGAAGACTTTTATCTTCAAGCCTTGATTGCAAAGACTTCCAAAAAGTGAAAATTCGTGACCTTGCAGCCAATCGATTGACTAAGTTAAATTAAAATAAGAGTCCGTTTGAACCACATTATAATGAGAATGAGAATGAAAATGAGAATGAGAAATAGAGTCGTTATGGACGCCATATTAGAGATAGAAATTCAAAAATGATAATTTGATGTGATAAATAACGATCATATTTTTTATTTTAATGAGGTAAAAATAGAGTTCAAGGGCTAATAAGTTTTTATTAGTTCAAAATTAAAAATCAACATAACTTGTTTAAACTTACACGCATACACCAATTTAATTTTTTTTTCCCAACCATCTAACTCCCACTTTATCCACCTCAAAACTCCTCTATCCTGTTTGAACCACATTATAATGAGAATGAGAATGAGAAATAGAGCCGTTATGAACCTCGTACCAAATATAGAAATTAAAAAATAGTGGCCTGATGTGATGGATAATGATCATATTTTTCATTTTAATGAGGTAAAAATGTCGCTCCGGGCTATATATAACTGCCAGCACTCCAACAAGTTCTTGAATTTTCCATCAACGAAAATCTTCAATTCTATACATCCACCAACTGGTTTTGAAATCCCACAGCGAACAAGGCAATAAGAAAAATTCCTTTTCCTTTAAGAAAATCTTGATGACGAAATTTGATAGAAATGAAGAAAATAATGATAGTGACTTGTGCAGAACCATAGAAGTGGCGGTGGTGGAGTTTCCGCCGCCGCCACGGCAGCTGTCATTTTCCGGTGATAATTGCGAAGTAGATGAGCAATTTCTGCCACCTCTCAACTTTGCTATGGTTGATAATGGCATTTTCAGGTCTGGTTTTCCAGACTCAGCTAATTTTTCATTTCTTCAATCACTCAATCTTAGCTCCATCATGTAAGTCATTCAACTCCATATATCTATATGTATCTCTCTGCTATTTTTTTCCTTCGTTTTTTGATGCACGTTTATGATAAATACAAGCGTAAATTAACGATTTTTAGGTTTGTGGGATTTTATTTATTTATTTTGTGTAGATGTTTGTGTCCTGAGCCTTATCCGGTGCCCAACATGGACTTTCTCAAGTCGAATCGGATTAAGTTATTTCAGTTTGGGATCGAAGGATGTAAAGTAAGTCAATCTCCAATTCGAGGATTGTCTGGGATTGCTTTTAATTCTCAAAGAAGATATTTTGGTCAGTTTCGTCTAAAACTGTTGTTCTAATCAGAAAAAGAACTTTCAGATTATTATTTAAAGTAGGCTTAAAAGTTCTACTTTTCGGAAGTAACGGGTATTTTTCTTGTGGACAATGCTACATTTACCTACACATTTTTACTGAATGTTTTACCTACACTCACAATAAGAGGGCGAGTCCTACAAGCCAAAATTCACCAATTCGATAATCCATTTTCGGTACATATGTATTTATCCTTTCCTTTCCTTGTTGTTCTTTGATTTTTCCATATGAGTAAAATAGTGTGAGTTTCAAGATATGTGAATGACATATTTTCACTAGATTGCAGTGGATTTGACAAGAAGGATGTAAAGTTCTGGAATTTTGCCTACTTTTTGAGCAGCAGGATATTCAGTCAATATCAGTTTGATTATTTATTCAAAAATATATAATTATTTTTCGAAAGAACAGTAATTTTTCTGTTTACAGATATACGTACAGTGTATTATAGGGTTTTTATTTTTATTTTTATTTTGAAAGCAATCAAAGTCATTATATATTAATTTAAGGTGGCTAATGCATAACTTTGTGATATTAACAATGAATTAATTATCACGTATCTTGAAAATTAGATGATGTCAGGTGCAATTTTTAGATATTAGTTCTTGATCAAGTCTTTATATTTACTAATTTGTGGCCACTGGAAGTAGCGATGCTTTTATTTTTACTTTTTTTTGTAACAACGAAATTATTTTCCTGATTTTGGGATGTGCTGTTATGGATTGTCTTAACAATTCTGATGCCAAATGCTAATCTTCAGTATAATTTCACTAGAGCACGAGTCCGTATATGGGATTTCTCCACATCGTTTTGCGATTTTATTTTATTTTTTCACTTGTTAGAATGTTTCTCTGCCTGAATTTGGTTTCAAAATTGTGTACAGGAGCCATTTGTGAACATACCCGAGGATAAAATCCGTGATGCATTAAAAGTCGTCCTCGGTACCTTCTTCACAAGATTTCCACTTCTATTCAACATGAATCATGTGCAAATCAATCGCTAATATACTTCTTTCTAACTTTCCTGCAATTCAGATGTGAAGAATCACCCTGTATTGATCCATTGCAAACGAGGGAAGGTAAGATATTTGCTATATTGCCTTGATCCCAAAATTTTCCGATCAATCACTATCTTGATTATCGATATTTTCTGTTGCTTAATTGTTCAGCACCGAACTGGTTGTCTTGTGGGGTGCTTGAGAAAATTACAAAGATGGTGTCTAACTGCTGTTTTTGACGAGTACCAGCGCTTTGCAGCAGCCAAAGCCCGGGTTTCAGATCAAAGGTTTATGGAATTGTTCGATGTGTCTGGCTTCAGGCACCTGCCATTGTCATTTTCAACTTCAAAGAGGTACAAGTAATTAGTAGAAATCTCTGAATTGGACCCTAGAAATGCAATTCGTTACCGAACAAATCTTGATTTTCATTCCTAAGAAGTTTCTTATATTTATGTAAAAACATGTTTTCAGTATATAAATATGGGAAATATTCTCAATATTTTTGGAATGTGCCAGTTAATAGTTATGTTCCTCTTGTAATTTAAAAACTTGAATGTGCATTGTTTAGGGTATGGATTGTGATGTCAGAACAAAAAAGAGCTTAAAATGCGTTGATTATGATAACACTTGCGAATTTAGGAAGTTCACTGAATAATGACAGGAAATTCAGACAAATTATTCAATAATTTCGAGCCAATTATGTCTCTTTGAACCAACTTATCGTTCATTTGAGCCAACTTATATTTGAATAAAAAATAATTTTATTTTTAGACAATTCACCCGTTGAACCAACTTATATTTGAAATGAAATTTTGAAAATGTATATGAAAAATAATAAAAATAAAAATAAAAATAAATGGGGCCCTGCGCTGCCCCACTCTGTGCCGACTAAGGTGGGGTGGGGTTTGGGCGACTGGTTTCTAGGTGATTGCATTATTAGGTATAAATATTGATCGATTTTAACTTTATCATAATAATAGTTTGAGTAAATTTTAAGCTAAAACTAAAATTAAACTTGTAAAGCAATGGAAAAGTGAAAAACGATCTTAATTCGAGAAAATTCAATGAACTTAAAGTGCTAGGACTCGTAATTTCACGATCTTAATATCACTTAATTCTCAAGTTTTGGCAACATATACATATGTAATGCAATTTCTCCTATCTAAAGTTAATAATTTATGGTCATCTTATTTAAATTTAGATTACCTCTCAATAGAGTTCACAAATCACTCAACTATTTGGGACTCCCCTTCGCCACCCCACGCGGATGGCCCGTAACTTCTCCCAAGTCACTCGACTTGGATAAAAGTTTTCCCGAGAAGCAATAACTAAATACTAGGCAAAAAGTGCTAGATAATTGAAAGCATTCAAAAAATAAATAAACAAATAGACAACGACAAACATAGCATTAAAGCATACATTTTGACGAAAATCAAAGTTGATTTGTCGAAACTAAATAACATTTGTCGAAAATAAGCAACATATTTTGTTCTTACCGAAAAGTTTAGTTCGTCGTCAAATTAATAGAACAAATATGATTTTAGAGCACATCACCGGATATTGAAAAGGAGAGAGAGAAATATGGAGTTCGAATGTTGGAACTAACTCAAACCTTAACCAGAGAACTTGATTTATGTTTTACTTGTTTCAATGTAAGATTGTGTAACCTCTTTAATGTTTTATACCTTTGCTTTATATATAGTTAGGTCGTAAGAGTCATGTTCATGCTCCACAGGTGCAAGAAACGGATGAGCAGAAGAGCATCAGTTTTTAGGTGCGACCTCGTTTGAACTGCCTTGCTCCTAGCTGGGCAGTACATCTTTAAGAGCTCACGGGTGCATGTTCCGGAGTTGTTTATAAATGATTTAAATTATGAATAAATAGAAATGAATGGTGGATTAGTAGGTAATACCTATGAATCTCACAAAATATGTAAATGAAAAGTAGTTTGATCAATTAGTGCTCGTACTTGCAATACTCCACCGTACGGGAACTTGTTCATGGTTCTCTTCTGGTCTAGCTTATTCCCTCGACACCTTAATACATCCCCTTCATGTCTCCTTTTGCTCCTTTTTTTTTTGTATGACGTTCATCCAAATTTGGGTAGATCCTAAAACACGAAAGCACTATGAAAATCGATAGAAACATTCCGAAAATAAACGCTTGTCACAAAACAATTCTTTCTTCTGCTACTTCATTAGCTAAATCAATAGGTTCGTTGGACCACATATTTTGCTCTCCGAAATTGACAAATGGAAAACTTACATATAAAATTCCAAGCCTCGTGAGCATAAATTAGAATATTTTTGCCATTTAATCTTTCCTTGCACTAGTGCATTGTCAACATAATTTGTGTAGCAATTGTTACTCCAAATCTAAACATGCTTTCAATAATTGTAAAACCACATCCAACTTGAATAGTGAAGGCTACTACTCATGAATAGTAGAGCCTAATATTTAGGCTTCACATTTTTGGGGGGGGGGGGGGGGGGGGGGGGAAGAGAGAGTAGTATTGTGTATAAAGTTAAAACGAGAGAAAAATGAGAAATTGCCTTTACGAAGCCAAATAAAATACGAAGAGTACATTGTTGTATTCCTCTTCTTTTTTTGATATGGTGAAAAAATTGGTGTGAGTTGTGGGCGTAGGCATAATTATCGAACCACGTAAATTTTTATGTTGTACTTGCACTTATTTTGCCATTTTTTTTTAATTTCTTCTTAGTTCAAATATTTTACGTTGCACTAATCATGACTAAACTAGTAGCATCTATTTTCTCAAAAATGGAATCAGAGTTCCAGAATATGTTGGGAAATAAAACAGACCGAGGTAAAATATATGACAAAAGATGAAGTACATGATCACAAATAAACAACAAGATAAAAAGCAGAGAGTTAAGTGGTAGAGGAACGAAATATTTTATTTAATTTACGAATATGGAGAAAACAAATATAATAATTGTGCCCACACACTTATTTTATATTTCAGTAATACAAAACTTGTGAAAAAAGTCTAATATTTATAAGGGTGCATTCCAAATCCTAGAAATGTCACAAAGATGGAAATAAGATAAAAAAAAATAATGTAGAATAAAGGAAATAATATTTTTTTCAATAAAAACTCGTGCAATAAAGGAAACAATATATGACACAATATGAAATATATGCTCACAAATAAATAATAAGATAAAAAGTAGAGAATTAAGTGGCAGAGATGAAATATTTTATTCAACTTACGAATATGGAGAAAACAAATACAATGATTGTGCTTACACACTTATTTTATATTTCAGTAACACAAACTTGTGAAAAAAATTTAGTATTTATAGGGGTGCGTGCCAAACCTTAGAAATGTCACAAAGATGTAAATAAGATAAAAACTAATGTAATAAAAGAAATTATATTTTTTTTAATAAAAGCTCGTGCAATAAAGGAAACAATATTTTTCCAAAAAATCCAACCTAATTTGGGTAAAAGAAAATTACAATTTCCACTTGACACAAATTTTGGAGCTCGATGCAATGAATGAAGCTCCAAAATTTTTCCATCTGGAAAAATAAATCCGACCACAACAAAAAAGTCCGAACTCTTTAACAAGAACAAAATTTTATCCAACACAAGAAAATCACTTCCTCTTCTACGCTATCCAACATGGATACATGAACCCAAGCATCAGGTTTCCCAAAAGTCACAAAGAATTAGAAATTATCAAATAGTATCAAAGCATATCCCGTAGCAGAATCAACTCTCAAAGCTTTCATAGAAAGCCCTGGCTAGTCTCAACTCCTTAAAACTGGTAAAAGCATGTGCAACCGAATCAACATCCACATACCTAGCAGTTGAATACAATGAAATCGCAAGTAATGGTGGCAAAGCGAAATTACTCATATCCTTCAAACTCAACTGAGTAATATTTTTCAATATGGACCCTGAACCAAATCCCAAAGGTACAGCACCAAACTGAATCTTTACACAATACTAAATCTGTGCTGACTTTTCTTCACAAATTCTGTCCAACCTTACAAGATGTATAATTGGGACCTCTTCTTCCCCTCCAATACAACATGAACACCTTCCAACTCTCAAGACTCCATCTTCTCCCAAGAACATGTACTTTTTTGAATCAAGGTACTCGATGAAATGAAACTCTTCTTCAATTTTGGAATATGTTGAACGTGATCAAGTATTCTACGCGTTTCATCTACCAGTTTCAATCTCACTCTATCAATATAAGCTACGTGGTAAGGTTCATTGTTATACTTATCCATGACGACGACACCTTGCGTCAACGTTTCATATGTTTTAAACAAATCCTGATTAGGACACATATGGAATGCACAAGCTGCATACAAAATTCACTCTTCGTCAGGTTTGGATTCTATGTCAGAAATCATCAAAACATCTCTATCACTCAAATAGTTCTCGACTATGTTGGTCTTGTCTGAAGTATTTAATTGCTTTCCATATTTGAAGTCAAATTATCTTTGTTCTGTAATTTGTTGTAATCTCTCTTAAAGTGTCATTTCTTCTTGCAATAAATAACAAACTTGATTACTAAAATTTGATCTCAACTTATCCTCTCTCCAATCACCAGAAGTAACAAGGCCTTCTCTATCTGTGACCTCAGATCCAACCATATGCTTCATCTTTTCTTTTGCACTTCAATGGCGAGAGTGTCATGATCATACAAGATCATATCTCTAAATAAAGCTAACGAAGTGGACAGCGAACACAAAAGGAATAAAGCCACATCTTCTTAATCATATTTCACCTCTAAAGTCTTTAAATCAGTGGCAGTCTCCTTGAACACTACAATATGATCTTCCAACGATTCGCCTTTTGCCATGCGATAAGATTACAACATCTACTTCAGATGCAATTTGCTTGTCATACTTTTAGTCATGCATTTCGCAGCTGCCGTTTTTTCCTTCAAAATGTCTTGAAAAATATTGCTATAGAGATGAAGATGGATCTGTGAAAGTGCCTTTTGATCCTTCCATTGTTTCTCCTCCATCATCCAAGTTGTGATCCCAACAACTTATTATCCAAATTCATACTTCATGGTTGCCAACGAGAATCTTGTATTGCGTTCCAAGAGGAAAATTTCATACTTTATGATTGCCATCAATAACAAAAATCTCGAACAAATCACAATCAATAATTCTAATACCACTTGTTGAGAAATAAAACGGTTCGAGGTGATATATTTAATAGGATATGCGATATATGATCGCAAACAAATAACAAGATAAAAAGGCAAAAAATTAATTGACAGATAAATGGAGTATTTTATTCAATTGACGAATATAAAGAAAATAAACACAATAACCGTGCCTACACAATTGTTCTATATTTCAATAATACAAAACTTGTGAAAAGAGTATAGTATTTATAGGGGTGCATGCCAAACTCTAAAAAAATCACAAAAATTGCAACAAGATAAAAAATAATATATAATAAAGGAAAGGGTATTTTTCCAATAAAAATCCAACCTAATTTATGTAAAAAAATCTAATAAAATTTGAGTGGAAGTAATGGCGACAGACGAGAAGACATCCAAAATCGATAAGTTTGATGATACAAACTTTGAATTTTGGAAGATGCAAATGGAATACTACTTGTATCATAAAGATCTATATGACCACTTCATGAAAAGTAGAAGGACATGATCGACGACGAGTGGGAGTTACTTGACCAAAAGGTTCATGGCACGATAAGGTTGATATTGTCAAAGTCGTTCGCTTTCAACATAAAAAAAAAAGAAAAGGAGAAGACCACAGTGTCCCTCATGGGCCCCTATCTAGCATGTACGAACAACCATCTGCAGCAAAGAAAGTTCATTTAATCAAAATGTTATTTAATATGAATTGGCTGAAGGTGGTAGATTTAGAGAACACCTAAATGAGTTTAATGAAGTGACGACTAGCTAGACATAGTTGAAATCACTTTCAGTGATGAGGTTCGAGCTTTATTAATTATTGGACAATTGCTTGAGAGTTGAAATGGCACAGTTACAACAATTAGTAGCTCTGTCGAAAAGTCCAAATTGAAGTTTGAAGATGTCTTGAGTATGGTCCTTACTAGGGAATTCAAAGATGGTCAGAAGTTGTTTCCACTTCAGGGGCCGTTTTGAATGTGAAGAGCAGAGGTAGAAGTTCATACAGAAGTAAACGGCAAAACAGGAGCATGCTAAGTTTAGGCAGATCAAGATCTAGAAATCCAAAGAATTTCAATGAATAAAAAATTGTTGGATATTGGAATTGTGGCAAGACCGGACACTGTAAAAATCAGTGCTAACTTTCCAAGAAAGAAAATGAAAACAAGATTGTGGTTAATATATTAGTGGAAGAATTAGATGATGCTTCGATATGCTATTTGGAAAGCAAAGCAGAATACTGGGTAATAGATATTGGAGCATCTTTTTACGCTACCTCAATCAGAGAACTCTTTGTAAATTATGTATCGAGCAATTTGGGAAAAGTATATCTTGGTGATGATAACCTTGTGACAGTCTACAAAGGTGAAGTACATATATGCTTAGTGGATCTGTATGGAAACTAATGAATGTGAGACACAATCCAGATTTGAGAAAGAACTTTATATATGTAGAACAACTTTCAAATAAAGGTTATGTTACAACCTTTAACGGTGATATTTGGAAAGTTTTCAATGGTACAATAACCATTGCACGAGGTTGGAAGAATGATACTCTTTATACCACAATGAGTGCTTGTAAAATAATTGCAATTACTGATTCCAATGAAGATTTGAATCCATGGTATCAGAGATTTGGGCATATGAGTTAGAAAGGACTCGAGTATAGCATCATAAAGAAAAAATATCAAGACGTTATTCTATTGATCTACACCTATGTGAGAGTTGTATCTTTGGAAAGCAGAAGAGGGAGAGTTTCAACGAGTTTGGCAGAACTCTGAAGTAGGAAAAGCTAGGGTTAGTTCACACAATTGTTTGAGGCCAACTGCAGTTCCATCTATTGGTGAAAAGTCATATTTTGCGACCTTCATTGATGATCACTCTTGAACAGTATGAGCCTACTTCTTGAGACATAAATCCGAAGTGTTCGAGCCATTTAAGAGGTGGGAAGCGATGGTGGACAATTAAACAGGATTGTGAGTAAAGAAATTGAGATCAGACAATGGCTGACAGTACGGACATGCTGATTTCATGTGAGAGTTGTATCTTTGGAAAGCAGAAGAGGGAGAGTTTCAACGAGTTTGGCAGAACTCTGAAGTAGGAAAAGCTAGGGTTCGTTCACACAATTGTTTGAGGCCAACTGCAGTTCCATCTATTGGTGAAAAGTCATATTTTGCGACCTTCATTGATGATCACTCTTGAACAGTATGTGCCTACTTCTTGAGACATAAATCCGAAGTGTTCGAGCCATTTAAGAGGTGGGAAGCGATGGTGGACAATTAAACAGGATTGTGAGTAAAGAAATTGAGATCAGACAATGGCTGACAGTACGGACATGCTGATTTCAAAAAGATTTTGTTACCAAAATGGTATCAAATTGGAGAGGACATTTTTAGGAACACCACAACAAAATGGAATGGCAGATCGAATGAATCAGATGTAGATAGAGAGAGCTAGAAACATGCAATTACATGCAAGTTTGCCTAAACAATTTTGGGTTGAAGCTATCAACACAACAACATACCGAATCAATTATGAGCCATCGGTACATTTGGAGTATAGGATACTTGAAGAAGCATGGAGCAAAGAAGAAATAAAACTTTCTCATTTGAAAGTTTTTGGTTGTATCGCATATGTGTATATTAGTGATCAAGCTAGGGGTAAGATTGACCTCAAATTACTGAAGTGAACCATCACTGGATATGGGGGAGATGAGTTTGGGTACCCTTCTTAGGATGATGAGAACAAAAGCAGCATTAGGAGTCGGGATGTCATATTCAATGAAAGTGTAATGTACAAAAACGAAAACACAGTGTAGTCTAGTGAGTTACATGTTGGTCCAATATATGTTTAGTTGGACTATACCACAACAAACATGTGAGAATCCTCAAAGGAAGTTGTCATGTAGATTGATATACCAGAGTCTCCAGTTCTTATTCCTACTCTTAGGAGGTCTTCTCAACCATATATTCCAAATAGAAAGTACATAAATTATTTGTTACTTACTGATGCTGGTAAACCTAAATGCTATGATAAGGCATGTTAGGGAGAGGATGCGATTAAGTGGGGTCTTAAAATGGAAGATCAAATAAAGTCTCTTATCTCGAACCAAATGTGTGAGTTGGTTGAGCTGCGGGAAAGAAGGCTCTACACAATAAATTAGTCTACCAGATCAAAGAGGAACATGATGGTTCGAAGAGACACAAGCCAAGGTTGGTGGTCAAAGGTTTTCAACAGAAATAAGGAATTGACTACACAGTGATTTTTTAGCCAGTCGTAAAGGCTAATAACAATTCGATCTATCTCAAGTATTTTTAAGGCAGAAGGGTTGCACTTAGAGCATTTAGATGTTAAAACTGCATTTTCTCCACAGTGGCTTAGAAGAGGATATAACTGGAGGGTTTCTCAATCAAAAGAAAAGAGAAGTTCGTGTGCAAATTGAAAAAAAACTTGTATGGCTTGAAGTAAGCCCCAAGACGGTGGCACAAGACATTTGAGGAAATTGAGAGGGAGAAATACAAAGAGTGAGTAGCATTGTGCAAAGAGTTAAAACGAGAGAAAATTGAGAGATTGTCTCTTTGTAGGAAAATAAAATAGAGAGAGTGTATTGTTGTATTCCTCTTCTTCTCTTGTTGATGTAGTGAAAATTGGTGTTGGACTTATGGAAGTAGGCATGATTGTCTAATCACGTAAATTCTTGTGTAGTACTTGCACTTATTATTATTATTATTATTATTATTATTATTTACTATTTTTTAATTCCTTCTCAGTTTAAATATTTTGCGTCCCACTAATTCTGAGAGAGAATTAGTAGCGTCTAATTCCTAACAATCCATTACTTCATCATCGAGCCAATGTTGCCCTTACAACATTACTTCAATAAAATCACAGCTCAAAACTATGTGTATGTGAAGATGCTATTCCATCAACGAAAACATTTAACACACGAATTACTGACATTGACAGCCTTACCAAAAACTGATGCACCGTTGTAAACATAATCACCGAAAATCGAAATTCAAAAAACTACCAACTTCAAATTCCTCATTGAAAATGGCGTGCTATAATGAACATTATCGAATCAACTAATGTATTAAACACTAACGTCAATTCCAACCCCTCACCCAAATTAACGCCAATCCAGATCTCATGTTTGAAATGAACAAAAATGTTATTGTCAGCATATAATTCTCCTTTGTTTCCCTAAGAGCCAATCAGTATGCTGTGTCAACATTTTTATCCATCGATGTAGTCGTAAACAACAATATTCGTCAACGTAGTTGCACGTCCTCATCATGTAATATCACTTTCGACATCATATATCACGAACCTTACGACATAGCCTAGCTCTAATACCATTCTGATCTAGGAACCAGAGCGAACAAGATGAACACGTGATCAATACTTCGATAATGAACGCATGTACTAGATTGTGGTGAAGTTTTAATAGAACTTCGAGTTTTTCATTTAGCCCCTATTTGGTGTAGAATAAAACAAAATTAAAAATCTCAAGAAAGTCAACAATTATTTTTAATCACAATTCATGAGATTCACAATTTTTCAACCACACTTTCATCGACTCTTATTAAAATTTATTAAAAATCTGATTTTAATATACACCAAACCTATCCGTTTGAAAAGAATTTATTAAAAAAAAAAAAAACAAAAAAGAGTGGTGAAAACTACTTGTAAATCCATTAGTATGTGTATCTGAAAATGAAGATTGATAATTTTTATATGATTTATAAATTTGCCAACCGAAAGCTTAATCACTCATCTAAACAGTATGTCAAAAGACTAAAATAACCTTAACTAAATAATAACTAAAATAAACAAGGTTGCAAAACTTCATGGACTAAAGGTTAACTTGAGGATTTTTTTTCAAGCCAAAAAATGTTTCAGAAGACGAAAGTAAGTGTGATATTTGGTTTGGTCCGAGAATTTTGATTTTAAACCTTGTTCAAACGAGCCAGTGTTAACTGAATATTTCAAACATTAAGCTATGAACAATGATAAAGAAAATATAAAGATTCAAGTGATATCAATTTGTGATTTTTCGATAACGACAAGATAGTCAAATGTTCACTTTAGTTAAATGAAAACTCTGGAAAAAAGAATTTACAATATATTTTAGCTTGCACTCATAAAGGTCAAGTGTTAGATCATTTCATTTTCATTTCCATTTCCATTTCCATTTCCATTTCCCTATAAATAGAGACCATGATCCACTGATGGAGACACAGAACGTTTTCTCTACACTCTTGATTTCATGATTTATGGTCAAGTAATGAGATTGGATCAAGTTACAAAATTATGATCAAATCTGTGTTACAAATTTTAGTCATTAACAATAACTGTACATATCAGGCTGCAAGGACCAAAACTTTAATTGTACCTTGACTATTGGCAGCCAACATAGTGGGACTTTCACTTTTCCAGCAGACTGCACTGATGAAGTAAGATCCTGCATCTTCGTCAGTTTCTTCCATATCAGGAGAGCCAAATTTATGCGATGTCATGGGTCTAGCAAGAGCCTGAGTTTCCCAAAATGCAAAATAATAATAATAATAATAATAATAATAATAATAATAATAATAATAATAATAATAGATAAATAAATCAAATCTCGACTGCAATAATGTTCATTGAATCGTTTAGCTGCATGTCAAATGTTAACAAGATGCTTATTCAGTACCACTAACCTTATGGTAGACGCACACTTCATTTGTTTCACTGCCACAAGCGAGGAAATCTTTATTTACTGTGAGACCAACAAAATTCTTCTCGTTCGTGTGCCCTCTAAATGTACGAACCTGAAAACGTCAATCACCAAAATATTACCAAAAAATTAATGTAACAACTAAAAAGAAAGTATATTGGCCAGCAAAAAAAAAAAAAAAAAAAAAAAAAAAAAAAAAAAAAAAAATGGCCAAAAAAAAAAAAAAAAAAAAAAAAAAAAATGCTGCGTTGATGGCTATTGCAGCTTGTATTGAAGTGCTTAATGAAGAATCTATCCATAGTCGTGAATCTTACAAGCGAATTTTCTTTGACATCCCATAATCGAAGAGTGCTGTCTGTTGATGCAGAAGCAAGCTCATTGTCAGACAAAAATTTTACATATGAAACTGCTTTTTTGTGGCCACTGTACACATGAATCGGATGACAGGTGTTTCTTAAATCATAATAGTGGATGTGATGGTCTGCAGAGCCAACCTGCATGATATTACAGGCTATGGTCTTAATCATATCTTATTTCAAAGAAAACGAAAATGAAAATGACAAATAAGTAAGTTGTGGATTCCTGAAGCAGAATTTTGGAAGTATTTCAAGGACGATAACTCAGGTCTATGTTATTCCTACAGATTTTGCTTTCTAAGTTCTTTCTTTTGCGATGGGATTGGACTAACAATGCATATTGCCAAAATGGAACAATATTCATGAGCATGCTTATATACGGATCACTACCATTGATAACGTCGTCCAACTACTTATATTCCTTAACAAGAAAATTAAAAAAATAAATATTCCATAATGTTGAACAAGCACTATGTCTATCTGAACAGGCATTATTTCTACCCCTTCAATTTGGCTCCCACCAAAAACAAGAAAGGACAGCAAAATAAAAAACAGCTATCAAAGCAGGGAGCAAGAAATCAATTTTTACCGCAACATATAGGCTAGACTCTGGATTATATTTTACACAGCATATATTGGCCTTCAGATCAATGTTGAGGACGCTAGCTTCTTGCTTAGTGCACCATACTTTGACCTGGAATTGTATGCAAATAGATAGCAATCACTCTTCCACGGATGGAAAGTCATGAAGCTGTTAATTCACTGTAAATGTCTGCACCAAATATAACCAAATTGACAAGCAGGAATAACACTTGTATCACGGGAAAATGGAACTAAAACACAACGAATAACTCGCTCTATTGGAAGAAACACCATGAGTAACTCGCTCTATTGGGAGCACAACTCCAACTTTACTAAATTTATCTCGCAATCATTTTACGTAAAGAAGGACAATGTACCAATCCCTCAGAAATTGTATATATTTTCTACTCACTTTGTTTGGTATAGTATTTGTAATTTAGTTCAATGCCCGTATTTTCTTTCTCACCTTTTGCAAGGTTACTTGTCTTTTTAATACTTTATGTCCATCTTTCCTCCCAATTTGGGTATGGAAGCACCCATTGGGTATCCATTGTTAATGTTCAATGTACTTTTTCATCCCAAATATAAGGTAAAATCTATGTTGCTCAGACTCGGGTGCGGGTGTCGGATACGGGTACATATCTAGGAGTCGAATTCTTCTTATTTTAAAAATTAAGATATAGGGATACGGTTAAAAAGGATCTGAATTTTGGATATGGATATGGGGATACGTAGGGCTGGGCAAATCTCCCTAACCGAATCCGACGGTTCTTGTCAAATTAAATACCCGAACGGGTATCTGAATTGAGAACCGAAGCGTACGATTCAATTCTCGGTTCTAGACCAAGAACCGAAAAATCGAATAAGAATCGAATCTTTCTAATTTTTTTTTTTATATTGAATAAATCAAATTATTTTAATTTTAATTTTTTTTAAACAAATTAACAAATTAAAAATTTCTAAATCCAAATTTATGGCCCAATAATTTGTTTCATTTCTAATTTTTTAATTTTTGGCCCAATTACCCATTTTATTGTTTCATTTCTTAGCCCAACAAAGATCCAACCTACTAAATAACCCTAAATACCTATACTAAAGCGCATAATGCTGTCTCGACTTTCGCACTCACTCTCGCAGCCTCGCTGACATTCCAAAACTTATACAATCGTCGGTTGACACTGTGACCTCCAATCGAAACTTTGACCGTAGCGATCATTTGAACAAGGTAGTCTACTAGTCTCTAACATTCCAAAACTATTGAATGTGTCATTAGTTGTATTTATATAATGTTGTTATAAATTTTAAAAAATTTAATTATAGTACGGAACCGAACGGAACGGAACAAAACCCGAACGGTTCCATAATTATATTTGGACCCGACGATTCCATTTACTAGATACCCGAAAATTTTCCGCGCCCCAACTCTAGGGATACGTCTTAAAATTTTTATAAATTTATTCAAAATGGATAATTGTAACTTAAATTATTGAATCAAACAAATTTAAAATTAAATATTAAACTAATCTTATCTTAAATAAAACAATAAATCACTTCAATTACAATAAATAATACAACATGGTAGAGACTAGAGACAACCCCTAATTTATGGCAGCATGAATTGTTGACTTTTAAACCACCTAATTTACTCATTTCATTAATTTATTCATTGGGCTCCACAAAATCCCATTTAACACATACTAAAAACCTTTCATCTTCCCCAAACCCATCTCGTCTCCTCCAACTCTTATCTTCCCTCTCTGCAATTTGTAAATGCTGCTGCCATGTTACGTTCGTCCATAAATTTCTTCATATTACTATCACCGGACTCAAAATAAACGGGTTTCTGGCACCACAACCGCAAGCCAGAAGCAATACTCCACTTTCCATTGTCTTCTCCATTTTCCAGCCGTGTCCAAGTTCAAAGCCAAGAATCCGACCCATTTACCGTGTCGGTATCTGTGTCATGTCGTGTCGACACTAATACTTCCTCATTTTTAGATAGTCCGAGCATCATAGGGTAAAATATACAATTTTTCTAGAATATTTCAACTCTTAAGGCCTCACCTCCTCCGTAATTCTCTCCCGCATTTGTTAGAATAATTGGGTTTTAAAGCTTCACCTCTCCAAGTCTCTCACACGTAATTTGACCTTACTAATTAAAACATAAAAACTGAATGATGAGAATTAACTTGATAATCACATATGTAGAACTTTTCTGCAAAACCGAGGAAAATGAAATATATTTTGGGAACTGAAAACTCCACGAGAATATCATAATTGTTACATTCTATGCAACTAGAAATCAGAAAACTTTTTGGGTTTCGTTCTTCAGAAACAAGCATGTGAAACCTTGTCTATGAAGGGAAATGTTGCACAAAATTTTGAGTCGAGAGCAAAGATCCATGAAACTAAGCAAAGGGACCTGACCATGGCAACCTAATTCAATCTATAAAAATTTATGGCAGGAAACGGATCTCCATCACCATACTGAAACGGGATCCTCAGTAGATTCAACAAAATTGGTTTAAGATTGAATTTATTGCTCCAGCTCCAAGACTGAAACTTAAGGGGAGTATCAGAACAAGTTAAATTATAGTCACCAAATTTTGTTTATTCAGTCGATGAATGGAAGATTTACTTGTTTTTGAAGCTGGTCAGATTATTTCAGACAATTTCAATACCAAGATTGACTGAAACATAGTTATAAACAAAACAAATCTTGACATGAAGTGGAACAATGAGAAGACATGGAAGACTAGAAGTCTAGAACTAAAGCCTTTGGGCCAACAACTTAACCAACTAGCATTTTTATTTTTGTATCCTATTTTAGGAGATTGATGTAGCTGACACAATTTATTTAGAAATATTTCTTTGCTGTTTTTGTATCCTATTCTCCCCCCCCCCCCCCCCCCCAACCAAATGGCCTTAACTTGGTTTTGCATAAATCATATCCATATTATCCAGACCCTACCCAATGTATCATACAAGTCATTACCAAATAAAAAGTATGAAAAAAAAATTGTGATTTCAGATTAATGTTTAAAGCAAGTCAAGGATGACAAGTGTGTTATAGCAATACCCCACTAACAGGTTAGAGATTGAGGCAAAAAATAAATAAATAAATAAATAATCGACATGAACTCGCTAGAGTACAAAAGATTTGATTAAAAGGATGTTTCATTAGGTTAGCTACAAATCAAATAGAGTAGCAGCAAATATTCATGTCGTTGACCTAATTACTGGAAATAGACTTGGCTTGATGACAAGGACACCAAATCTACTACCAAAAACCACCAGTGCCGCCCATTCTATGTTGCTGGCACCTAGATGCATGTATGGAGATGATAACTGTAGTCTCGCATTTTTAACCTAGTAAGAGACATGAAATATGTGGGAACAAGTTTGTATATTTGATGCCAAATATAATTACTTGAAAATAGCATTCAGTAACTGGATCATTTTACAGGAGAAAGCGAGCTAGGAAAACTAATGTATGTAAAGGAAGCTCTACAGTTGTTACCTAGGCTTCTTTCAGCCTTTCACGGAAGAACTTCACCGTTACTATAAAATCAGTTCACATTGTTCATATATATAAATAAAACAATGTTTTAAAGTAAATATTATTCAAATATGAAAATTGTAATGACATCAGTCCGAGAACTAATGTTAATTATTGAAGTTCCCTAAGTATATACCTAAACAAGAAAACAATACATAAATTTTGTTAGGAAAGATTAAACATTGTAAAAGTTACCAGCTCTAAATCTTTACTTATACAAGAAATCATCAAATTTTGATTGGTGTGGATCTAACTGCTCATATGTAAACATGCATTTCCTTTCACTAAAATTTTAAGCATAAATTAAGCAAAATAACAGGTCTAATTTCGAGTTGAGCAATGAAAAGTGTTCTTATTGTACCTTACAATCGTCACTACCAGAAACTAGCATTGACGGTTCAGTTCGTGAAAAATCTACACTCCAAGCGCGCTTCTCATGCTCCTCATATTCCATAAGACTCTGATTGTACCGTAATATTATTAGCATTGTTAAAAGAAATTTTAAGAAAATAAAATTCTCAAATTTTGACAACTACCGTTAACTTTAAGTTTACAGTTTTTATATTTGGATAACAAAATTACCACTAATGGTTGTCCCAGATTTACCTGTCTAGTAGTTACATCCCAAATAGTCACTATTCCTTCATAATCGCTGCTAGCTATAAGGTTTTTGCTATATTTGTTCCAGCTCAAGCAGCTCAGCTTAGACCGTGTCGACATCTCCACAACAGGGCAGTGCACATCTGTATGTTCATTTACAACCTGGAATGCAAAAGTGTAGCGCACAGTCAGCAGATCAACAGGCAATTTCCTTGATAAAATTGAGGTTCAGTTTCAGTCACATGGAAATCACAATCACCATGCCCTAACTCCATATATCATCATAAAAGAATTATATGTGTAAACAACAGCCCACAGCAAAAATGCTCAAAACACCTTTTTGCTCAGTTGAGCAGTAGAAAATGCATAAGTAGGGCACTCTGATCAGTTGCATATAATGGAGGATGATCTCCAAAAATGCAGTTAGTTTTTCCCTCACTGAAAACCATGTTAAAATATTAAAATATGAAGGCCATACAAATCATGCTCAGGAAAAAGAAAAAAAAAAAAAAAAAAAAAAACACCTCTGTAACGATCATGCTAACAAATATAGATACGGATCAAAATAATTTTTAAAAAAATTAAAAAATGAAGGCCAAAAAAATAAAGCCAAAAAAAAAAAAAAAAAAAAAAAAAAAAAAAACACCTCTGTAACGATCATGCTATCAAATATTTAGATACGGATGTACGTGTATTCTTTCCAAGCTCTTATTCCTATTAAGGCTGAGTTAGATGTAAGGATAGTGATTATGTTTAATCTGCACAATCAATGCCCAGAATTCTGTTCAATATTTATAACTTTCAAAACGAACAAGTATCTCATTCATGATGGGTGATTGTAGCTTACATATCCAAAATTTGTTATCCTGTTTTCCTATTCCTCATTATGTGTGAACGCCATAAAGGTGGGGCAGTTCACAATCTCTGCCTATACATTCAAATCAAAAAGAAATTGACAGTTCCAATCATGTAGTAAATGAGTAATAGAACATTATATTATGGAGAAAGTCAATGCACATTGACCAGAGAAGAGATTTTCCTTCTACTGTACTGGGATTTGATGCCCAAATCTATGGAATGTGATTAGTTGTAAATTAGTATGCTTGCCATATTTTTGTAAATTAGTATGGTTGCCATATTTATCTTGTATAGAGATTCATTAATGCTTTCAAATGGGGGAAACAAATACTTTTTTACAATATATAACCTCATTCCAAAATCCAAACTGAAGCAATCATAACAAAAGGATAGGACCATCAGGGAGAAGAGGAAGCTGGTAAAAATGAAAAATATAAAAACCTACCGAAGAGAAGTCAAAAACTTTTATGCATCGTGAAACTCCAGCAGTAGCAAACAGCTCATCATCGCGATCAAACTCTATGCTGCAATAAAAATTAGGTATTTAAAACATTTAGTTAGAAACATAATACAAATTAAAAAATGAAATGCAAAAGAAATTGTGAATTCAAAAGGTATAAACCATCAACTAATTGTATGGACACAAAAATATTTCAGGGAGTGACCAATTTGCTCGACTTCCACCACGTAAACAAGTCATTTGTTTCTCCTAATTAATGTATTTACCCTTTAGGTGGTATCACAGGATAGTAATATCAAAATTATTACTTCTGTTGCATGTCAAAACTCCTCCAAACGTATCTATACTGTTGATCAATCTACACCACACAATCAAGTAAATATAAGGTCTTGGTGGTGTAATCAGGTGATGTGAGAGAAGTGACCCACCTATTTATACACAGGTCTTAACATGTTTGATCATAAACGGGTAGAGTGGAACCGTTCCACCATATTTTGTAATTTTATTATCACGGAGCAGATTGGCAAAAGTGAGCACTCTCTATCAGGACCCTAGGCCCCACTGCAGACAGTCAAACACTCTCCTCTGCATTCCTCTGACAATCCTTTCTCAATCTTCCCTAACACCCTTAATTCCGCTTCCCCATTCCCCCCACCTCCAGTACCTTACAACTCAGTGATTAAGTTGAGAACTCAAAAAACTAATTCTACTCAGTGAATTTAGGTAGCTCAATGGGTATTGATGAATTTTGACACCGCCTACTTGCAAAAATTAAATGATTTATTCATTATCCCTAAAAATAAGTTCTTGGATAAAAGGAAAATATCAAAATTAGGTTGGACCCAAAATTTACGGGTATTTAGTAAGTGGAACAATAGTCCGAATTTAATTATAGAACCGTTCGGATTCAGTTCTAATAGGTTCGGTTTGGTTTCATTCGGTTCACAGGTTCCATATTATAATTAAATTTTTTAATATTTACAAAATTACATTAATTCAACTAATGATATGTTCAATTTTAGTTCTTACAAAATAACGTATTTTAATCTTATGTGTCTTTTGCGTCTTTCTTTGCTGAATTCTTCATGTATTTGGTTGTTAAAATCACATGAAGAGGAAAATAGCGAGCTCACAATAATTAAGAGATGTGTTGTCAAGGTTTAATTTGATTTCTTCAAAACGGTAGAAACAACACTACGGCAAAGTAATAAATTTGCATAAAACTTAGATCATTTTGATTAAGTTAGCTTTGAGCTAAAAATTAGAAATATGAAAATCATAGTTTTGGGTTTGAGCTAAATTAACTAGTTAGAAAAATTTATTTTAAAAAAATAAAATAATTTGACTTTTTAAAATAAATTAATTAAAAAAATAGAAAAATTCGATTCTTATTCAGTTTTTTGGTTCCTGACTTAGAATCGAGAATGGAACCAAACCCATTAGTTTTTTATTCAGATACACGTTCGAATATTTAACTTAAGAAGAACCGCTCGGTTCGGTTGGGATTCAAGTTCGGTTCGGTCGATTCAGTTCAGGAGTTTTGTCCAACCCTAATCAAAATCAAAACTTCTATTCCATGGAAAATCATATATTACAGCACTGTATTTCTGTCAAATGTATTCGTATGAATAAGCTCTCTCTTCCCTCTTTTCATTCTAGAATACACACATAGGCCAATTGATAGAACCCCGGTTAATTTCACTTACATGAGGAGAAAGAAGGAGGGAAAGGCAGTGTAACAACCGAGGCACCAGATCTGTTAGTCAGTTAAGAAGGGTAGTTTAGGGAATTGATTATGGGGAATTATGTCTATAAATGTAATGGGAGGGTGAGTTATTATTTTCGTCACACTTGTAGCAAGGCCCTTTTCTCTCTTCTGCTGTAGCTCAGCGTCCAATAATTTCTTGACGGTCGGCGCCTCCTTCGCTGTCGGAGTTGGCCGAAACATGGTCATGGAAGTCACTGCCCTAGAAGTGGGTGAATTCAACGAACCTGGGTACTGGGAGCCGACTGCGTGGTCATATGAAGGAAAGTGTGGGCTGTGAGTAACAGCGCTGGAATAACCCCCACTTCCTTTGTTGGGTCCATACGACGTAAGGGCCTCCTTTAATAATTCATTTCGGTCTTCTACTCACAGCCCACACTCTCCTTCATATGACCACGCAGTCGGCTCCCAATACCCAGGTTCGTTGAATTCACCCACTTCTAGGCCAGCGACTTCCGTGACCATGTTTCGGCCAACTCCGACAACAAAGGAGGCGCCGACCGTCAAGAAATTATCGGAAGCTGAGCTACAGCGGAAGAGAGAAAAGGGCCTCGCTACAAGTGTGATGAAAATAATAACTCACCCTCCATTTACATTTATAGACATAATTCCCCATAATCAATTCCCTAAACTACCCTTCTTAACTGACTAACAGATCTGGTGCCTCGGTTGTTACACTGCCTTTCCCTCCTCCTCTCTCCTCACGTAAGTGAAATTAACCGGGGTCTATCATTTCACTTACGTGGATGGGACACTATTCTAGTGGTAGTTGACTGGCTGAGCAAATATGGCCACTTTGTTGGCCTAAAACACCCATTCACCGCCCCTCTCATGGCAACCATCTTTATCAAAGAAATAGTCCGCTTGCATGGCATACCTCAGTCAATTCTTTTTGATCGGGAAGTGTGTATGAGCAAGTTCTAGATAGAGTTATTTAAGGCTCTGGGAACTAGCTTAAAGCGCAGCACAGCCTACCATCCACAAACGGATGGACAGACAGAGGTCGTGAACTGGTGCTTGGAAACCTATTTGAGGTGTTTTGCATCTCGCAAACCTCGCTCTTGGAGTCAGTGGTTACCATGGGCAGAGTTTTGGTACAATATGTCCTTCCACACCGCAACAAAACACACCCCCTTCCAGATTGTCTACAGCCGTGAACCACCTCCCATTCTACCTATTGAGAAGGGACTCACTGTAGTATCAGCTGTGGAAAAATCACTTGTAGAACGAGATGAAGCTCTCCAAGAAATTAAAATGCAACTAACTCGTGCTCAACAACGAATGAAGCTGGTAGCTGACGGGCATCGGCATGAGGTGCAATTTGAAGTAGGGGACATGGTTTATCTCAAATTACGGCCGTACCGTCAGAATTCTGTGGCAACCTGTCCCTATGCTAAGCTGTCCCCTAAATATTACGGGCCATTTGAAGTGGAAACAAGGGTGGGCCAGGTAGCATATAAGCTGAAGCTTCCCCCTACTGCAACTATACACCCAGTCTTTCATGTCTCCCAGCTCCGCAAGGCTATTGGTTCTAGTCAATCCATCAAGCATCTTCCTCTACAACTTGAGGCAGAAGAACAGTTCCAGGTTGAACCAGAGGCAGTCCTACAAGTCAGGCAGGGTCACCAAGCACTGGAAAGGAGGCTCTGATCAAATGGAAGAACTTGCCCAACTTTGAAGCAACCTGGGAACCTTTCAGCACCATCCAACAACAGTTCCCCGAGCTCCACCTTGAGGACAAGGTGGCTTTTGGGATGGGGGGAAATGATAGACCCCCGGTTAATTTCACTTACGTGAGGAGAAAGAAGGAGGGAAAGGCAGTGTAACAACCGAGGCACCAGATCTGTTAGTCAGTTAAGAAGGGTAGTTTAGGGAATTGATTACGGGGAATTATGTCTATAAATGTAATGGGAGGGTGAGTTATTATTTTCATTCACGTTTTGTTGAGTCTTTGGGGGAGAGACCAGGCCTCTCGAAAGCCTTGAATCTGTTTCCCTTTTGTTTGCAGCACCTTATTCAGTAAATAACAGTTTCCATTTCCATTGTTAATAACCAAGGGGTTCTATCACCAATCTAGTGATCATAGTTTAGTTCAGCAAAAATTCAATCTTTTCCAGATTCAGTCCCACCTGATTTCAAGGTAAAGTAGGTGCAAGCTAATTCTGAGTAGGAGTTGAAACGGAGAAGGTATAGATTCACTTCTGCAAAAATACAGGCGAGTCCTAAAATGTGTCTCCTATATTTTCTCACTAAGTTCATCCACTCTATCATTCAGTAGTTTATAAAAATTATTTAGCCAAGCCAGAGATATATATAGACTTGAATTTTCAAAATTAAAGACAGTCAAATCTGATCTGATTATGTATTGGAGTTTCCAAATAGGCTGCAAAAAATACTAGATATGGTTATCCTTAGACTTCCATCCAAAGATCCAAATTACCTTGAAACAATGTTGGTGGAATGAAAGAGATCCCCATGCCTAAGTTCAGCAATCACCCTTAATCGACTGTTCCAGAATAAATTAGGAGAATGTCAATAGAAGATAAAGAAATCAAAAGCAAGCAAGTGGAATAAGTCGGTGGAACAGAAATTGATGACTCTACCTGTATCGTGTGAATGTGCTTAGAACGGATTGAACATCTGCAAGACCAGCATTATAACCTTCTCTGTGAATAATACTTTTATCATTCTTTTCTTGGGAGGATAAATGGCAGGCTGACTGACGTCTCTTTTGCAAGTAAAACTCTTGTAAATCATTAAACTGCAGAAAAGGATAATCATCTATCACGATGAGGAAAAAAACTGATTCATAAACAATGTTGTGAAAAGAAAAGAATCTTGTTATCAAGCAAAAGCAATGAAACTATGCTTAAATCTACTTGCTTCCGACTTCTTATATGTTCAGGAAAAGCTAATGATAAAAAGCCTGAAGCAACAAAAGAGGCAATTCAGCATTCATGGTTCAATCTACAAAGTCAAGGTCAACTGGAAGGAATCTGGCCGTGAAACTAATGAATGCTGAGATCATTGTTCTTCAGGTTAACCACATAATCTTAGATGAAAGCTTTGAGATGGTTTGATACAGAAAGCGTCCATTTTAGAAGAACTGCATGTTTGGCAGCTTTTTATAATTGGTCAAACCACTTTTTATCCCCTCTTAAATTAAGTGTCCATTTCGTGGGATTCACTACAACTACCTAGTACCCACTTATCAATCACTCATTTCTATCTATTTATAATTTAAACCAATTATAAATAACTCCGAAACGTGCTTTAATTGTGATGCACAAAATAGGTCAGAGAGTCAACTTTTATGGCGAGCCCTCTAGAAAACTATACTCCAATATTTTTTCTTTTCAAATAATTCCACGGTTGCACACCATATATAATTAAAAGTTTGCCAATTAGATCTTCCCTAACCTGTGAATGGACACGCTTTTTCTGTTTTATAGCCAGGCCAGATTGGCTCAAATGCTGCAAAGTTGGACCACTTGAAGATATGTCGTTTCCCTGGGGTCCAAGGAAGCTACGTTGAGCCTTTCCCTCCACTTTTTTGTGCAGAAAGTTCTCAGAGAGTATTCCTCGTTCATTTCCAGAGCTTAAATGACTAGTACTAATTCTATTGGACGATGTAGGACATTTCAATCCCATAGGATCATCACCAAGTAACTGCAGTTTAACTGAGTACTTGTCTCTCGCACGGTATAGCTCTATCCTATGCCTTTCCACAGCATTTATGTCTTCTTTAGCATACTGGATGTCATTTTGTACCTAAGAGAAAGCAGAAAAAATTAAAAAAATCAGTCGATGACCAGGTCACTGAAGGACGTGCAAAGCAGAACAGCCACTAAAAGAATGATTAGCTTATCCAGAAACAAGAATATAGAAGGAAACAATATGAGATGAAGAAGATGACAAACTAACGTAAAAAACCTTAGAATTTCTCTAAGATCTTATAAGAAGTCTGTAAGAGAAGAATATTAAAGGAGTTCCACCATTCAAAAGTCAAAGCTGCAGAACTGGAAGGATAGTATGCCACATTTCCAAATTGAGAGAGACCATATATTTAGCATAGACTCCTAGACACCCCAATTCTACTAGGCTATTGCCCAAAATGCTAGAAAGCACAATAATTAAGAGAGTTCTACTTAGACAAGGATTCGATAAGAAAATTACTTTGTGACCTAAGTATACTAGGATTGCAGAAGAAAAATGTAAAACTGGAAGCAAAAATAAATACTGACTAAAGACAGCAGCTAAGACATCTCCACTGTGCCTGCCAATGATTTTAAGCAATTCCATTCCCATGGTCATATTTTATCCATTGAACACTCTATGGCCAGCATCACTCCTCAGGTTGGAAAAAATACCTTGCGTTTTCTAGTGCTGAAGTATTAGTCTTTGAATATAGCACAGGCCAACTTTTAACATGTAAAAAACTTGAAGTTAAATCACACCTTATCTTTTAGTTAAGTTAAATTATGGAAATATTCAGAAATATCTATTTACATTTCCTTTACAATTTTTTGCAGAATAAGAAGCTGATTCTCGCGATAAGAGCTACAACTCATCTTTCGATTGTTCTATGGCCAGAAAAAGGGTATAGCCAACTGTTTCAACCTCTTAGCTTTTATGTCTCAACTTTCATGCAAAAACACCACCCAGAAGCTGTTTCTTGCACAGATTCCTTAAATGAAGTAACATTTTCTACTTCAAATACAGTTTCCAATGCATGTGTAAATTGACATTACTTCTAACCTCTCAGTCTCTTGCATGAACTATTATTTATCCATAATGCTATGGAGCCAGAACACTTGTGGTCAAATCACAAATCTAGAAACTCAAAGTTGCTAATTCTGCTCATGCCACCATAAAATTCTCCATTTTCGGCTTAATCTAGCAATATGCTCAGTCATCATGTCCTCTATGTTGATGTAGCTTGCCCTTGTTCTAGATTTTTAACTCCTTGTCCTAAAATAGCCTTTCTACCTATGTGTCTCTGAACAGATTTTGAACACTTTATTAAATCAACAGTTTAATCTTTCTGAATTTTTTTTTTTTTATTTTTTTTTTTTTTTGGTGACTGACTTTAAGCTTTTTACTACAAAGAATAAAGCCAAGGGCAGAAGTTTCTTCCGGAACTGGGATAACTGGAATTATCTTTGTATTCCATGATACTACCTGCATTACTCCTTAGGTGCTTACGAAGTCAAACACCAAGATCAACCAATTCAAACAAGAATAGCCATAAAAAACTTATAAGAAAATGGTGATGAGTAGGCAAGACCAGGAAAACTAGAATCTCTCTTAGAAGAATTTCAAAGCAATGCTCACCATTTGAAGACGCAAAAAAATTAAAAAAAATACTAAATCTACTAGGTTATTGAACCCAAAGACTAGGATGACAAATAATTAAGAATGCCTACCTGAACAATCATTTGACCCAGATAATTAATTCATGGTCTCGTTCAGAAAGATTAGTCCTCCAGAACCTCCATAAATACACTAAGAAACTAGACACGAGATATAATAAATGAAGTAAAAACTGGAAATAATATATAATTAAGGAGTCTACCTTAGAGATCAAAGGAATTAATGAATCCCCATTACGTTTGGATGATGAAGTCCACTTTAGAAAAATATAAATGCATAAATAAAATAAAAAATAAAATCTCAATGTCACGATTTTGTTTATCCACAGAAATTACTTCACAAAATTCACCATATTCCTTGATCTAATTATGATTCAAACCAAGCAGAATTGAATATTTTGATATCATACAATTTTGATAATTTTCCAGTCAAACTCTATGAAGATGCATTCAATGAATTATTCTAATAAATGGTCATCGGGATTTAAAAATCAGTAGTAATTATTTAGGAGTGGAACAAGAGGAAATTTTTGACATAAAACCTCAGAATAATTTTATCAAACCTAGCCCAGAAATCATGTTGCAATTAGTAATCATGTATGAAATTAATAGAAGGACCTATGCAGCTAATATGGTGGGCTTCCACAGAGATGGGTCCGAAAGATTTTCTGAAGCTACCACCCAAAAATAAGTTTAGAGAAAAATGAAATTGGAAGCATTACAAAACATAAATCTCAAACAGCTATTTCGTAATCAAGTGTTAACAATTCGATGTTGCGATCTCTTTCATTGATTCTTATTATGTACAAACCTCATTGAGCTCATTAACTTTTTGTTTCCTTAAGCTGTGTAAGAAGTCCAGCAGAATTTGCATGTTTCTCTCTGCCTCTTCTTGTTCCATTCTTCTCTTTTTGTCCGCCAGAAGAGACAGCAGGGTATCCAGCTCCTTTATTGAAACTTCACAACCCTGTCGAAGGATAAAATATGTCAAGCCTCTGCACAAACAATAGATATGAAACAAGTGTTAGAGTTGAGTGACTTCCCTGCATTTGAAGAATACAATCCTCAAAAGAATCAGAAAGCAAAAGTGGATTCGCAGTGGAACTTTCTGGTTGTTTCCATTAGGCAGTAATCCAGTAGTTCTTAAATACATGTTTGTTCCAAATATCATTACATTTACTAAGCCCCCGTTTGGCCCCCATTCTTTTCAAATTTTAATGGTTGGTATAATATTTTTTTGAAAAATGTGTGGTTGAAAAAGAATGAAAAGTTTTTGATTTGTGTGTAATATTATTTTATGGAAAATTGTGTGGTTGAAAATAAGAGAGAGAAAAAGAATGAGAATGGGGGCCAAACGGGGGCTAAATTCTGTTGCAATAAATTACGAGGAAGACATATTGCTTAGATTAGAAGAGGCCATATACGAAGGAGAATGACAAGAAATGTCATCCATCTTTTTAACAAAGGGAAAATTAGGTCAAAGGGGCTTAATTGCAACTATACACCCTCAATATTGCCTTAAATAGTCAGATTCTCCTGATCTGATGTTTTCACTCAGGTGCAACAGATTAGTTCATTAGACTAGAGATACTATAAGAATGAATGCCATACTATAAGAATGAATGCCAGTTGTTAAATACAATTGATTGAGTCTTAGGGCCAAACATATACAAAAGTACTTCACATAAAAGAACAGTATCAGACAAAACCTTTCTAACCCTTTCAGAAGAACTTCGTCATTATGCATAATGTAGCATTCAAAATTAAGTGATCTCATTTCAGGAAAAATAATAACAACCATGACAAACTTCACCAGAACATAGTGCAGATTATGAGTATCATTCATTTACAACTTCCCAACAATTTGGAAAGCAACAGATATAACAATCTGATCGCAGAGCTTTGTCCTTGGTGATAACAGAAGTTGAAGTCTTCACCACTCCACTATTCTTAAGTGAATTCGACATATCAAGTATGATGATTATAATGATTAAATAGAAGAAATGCTTTTAAATATGCATTTGGAGAATCAGTGATTTATACCCAATAGCTTGCTGACTAAATAATAAAATATGAAACAGTTAATTGAAGACAATAAAGATGGTCTTTGGGTGGCTTTGGCCGTACAAGTATTTGAAAATAAATTCGACCGCAAATGTAGAGAAGCTATGTGGATGGTCATTCCTGTTTAAATTCATCAAAATTCAACTCCAGAAAGCCTCCACTTTGCGAAACCCATCCTGAACTTTTGTAGTAGAAAGATCCCCTTTTCTCCAAATCATATCTCAATTGCTTTAACCTTCTGAACAAGCTAACTATGCAATGAATAGTGGTACAGTACAAGCTAACTTCACAGTCAATTGATTGTACAATACAAGCTAACAGGATAAGGCAAAACATGGCCGTAAAATATCGTGGGAGCAACAACAGAACCAACCATGGCTGGTCTCGGGTGGTTGTCAAGGACCTGACTAGATCCTTTTAACAAAAGCCTCCCTTCAGTACTTAGTCAATAAGATGGGTTGAAGGGGATCCTTTTCAATTGCAAGTGGGAGGTGGCACAATAGATGGTGCTGGCGGACTCAGATATGGCTAATGGTACAAGCATAGGTATTAGAGTGTTAAGTACGGCGGGAATGCGCAAATCTGGGTGGAAGAAGATTTGGAATGATGGCAGTGAATCAATTGGTGTTCAAAGGTAGCTCAAAGTGAACAGAAAATGGTATGGAGGTGGTGGTTTGATCAAGATGGGGGAGATGAGGCAAAAGTGCATTGGGAAGCTCAAGCCTTGAGAGTGGCAGGTTGGTGGTGCTTTGAAGAAGAATCGATGCAGGTGATCTTCTATCCGGATAAGAGAGATCGAAGAATTGGAGGATGAATCTAATAGGTCATGTTTGGTTGACCCATTAAAATAAACTTCAAAAGGGTCAACTAAACATGTTCTGTGACTTTATTCCTTTGGAAGTGTAAGGATTCTAAACACAATCAGATTGAACTGTACTAATGAATATTGTCAATTTAAAACAAACCCATAAACTAGATTTCCAGGTAGGATTTCAAAAATGCAACCACACAGGTCGCAAATCATTAAAAGGTGAAATGCATTTCAAATTCACCCAAGCCACAAGTCATGAAACGCCGCATCTCAGGCCTTCGTTGTTTAAGAAACCGAATTTAGGGAAGTAAAGTGTGACCACACAACCCAAGGTTAATTCGGATAAGTAAAGTGTGACGACACAACCCAAGGTTAATTCGGATAAGTAAAGTGTGACGACACAACCCAAGGTTAACAGTCATGCTTAAAGTAAAAATTCACTTGTAGAGATACATTTTGACCATGACCATTCGTTTAAATAAATTAAGAGAAGAAAAAGAGATAACAATTGGGCATAAGATACAGGAGAAGGAAAAATATACTAACTATGATAGATAATATACGAGCAAAGTATTATTTTAAATTAATTAACACTTTTTCGAAAGTAAGTAATTAGACAAAACTTTTAAAGGTCATAAACAAGAACTATGTATCTGCCTATATAATTGAAGGATGGTGACAACAACGAGGTTTTATGGGTTCTCTTTCCTTCGTAAATTAATCCGTGCATAGTCAGGAACTGTCTTAGGAGTTGAAAAGGGAAGAAAATGAAAGATTATATCATAAAAACTTCAATTATACTCCAAAATCATGACTCACCTGTTCCAATGACTGACGAAATTGTTCTACAGGGGATGAATTTTTCGATAATTGTCGGGCAAATGTCTTCTTCAATAGCTACAAATGTGGCACAGGAAAACCGTATAACAATAAGCTGCATTGTGAAGTAAACTATTTTAAGATTCAAACCAGACGAATGAGCATGAATCAAAATACACAAATTACGAACTTGCTGCAGACTAAGAAAAAACAAAATTATATATTCTTTCCAAATCCACAATAAAATAGACATATTAAAAATAATTAATAAAAAATTAGAACTTGATCATTCAGCACTCATCCAATTACTAATCAGAAAATGCTCAAATATTCAGTTCACCTTATCGAGAAGAAAATTGGGGAATAGTTGATCTGGGGTAAGGGAGTTAAAACAGCAAGGGCAATCACTCTTATTGCGGAGATGAGTAACAATGCACATATAGCAGAAGCTATGGCCACATGCCGTTAAGAAAGCATCCTTTATCATCTGCATACAAATTGGGCAAAGCAATTCCTTGTCCGCCACCTCCGCCTCTGCATCGATATTTCCTCTGGTGGTTGTTGTCGTTGATGTTATTGTAGTTTCCTCCTCCGGCTTCTTCATCGCCGGCACCACCGCTCCGATTGAGCTTTCCCTCATCCTACTTGCGCGAATCAGATGATCAGGAGCAGCAAAGTTGAAATGAGTGGACAGTGGTTGTGGGCTTGGGGATGTGTCTTTTTGGTCAAAACGGTTCAAACTTTGTTCCAATCAAGTTGATGCGTTACAAAAGGTCACCTTTTGTTATACAAGTCTATAGTTCGATCCAAAGGATGTGAAAAAAGCATATCGCATATTTTTAATATCACACGAGATGAGAAGAATTGTTCATGAAGTTGTATAATGACGATTAATTAGTTGATTAAATGTGTACTTTACTTTCTTGAGGTTCTTTTGTCATACTAGTTCATCATTCAACTGTATATGTGTTTTGCTAAATGTGATTGATTGACTTATGATGAGTTTGAGTTCTAAATCGTGTATCCATGTATCACACAAGGTGAATAAGAAAACTCATGAAATTGTATCTTTCGCAATATCGATTGGAGAATTGTATACTTTACTTTATTTCGAAAGTTTCCCTTTCAAGTTACTAAGAATTTGAATCAATGACGGAAAATCTTTTAATAGAATCTTTGCAGTCTCACTTAGGCAAATGCCTTCTTATTAGATTTTGATGAATTCCTATCATCATTCATTTAAAAGTGTGTATGTGTATGTGTGTGTGTTTACACAAACACACACACACCCCCCATTATACCACATTATTTTTTCTATAGTACTCATTTTCAACCACACATATTTCATTAAAATAATATTATACGTAAATCAAAGTCTTTTCTTCTCACATATTTCAACATCAATCACCATTCTATAATACATTATTCACAAATAATGGGGCACAAACACCCCCTTATGTATATGCTCGACCTACAAGTGAATAAATGCATATTTATTGGTAAAATGGCCTCTATGATCTAATGAGTATCGGTGTTCATTTTATATTAAGTATCGATGATGTGTCATATTAATTTATTGATGGATAAAAAATTTAATTCAAATGTTGGAACTCACAAGATTCATCACCAATGACACATCGTTATCGTCTCTATACACATATAGACCCTGTTTGAGCCACATTCTTTGGAAAATGTATTCTTAAACAGTGATTTGACATCATTTTAACCATACATTTTTTAATAAAATAATATTACACGTAAATTCAAAAATTTTCCTTTTTTTCTGATCACATATTTCTCATCAATACACTATTTAAAAATGCATTCTTATGAAAATAATGTGACTCAAACAATGGCATATTTGAAAATTACTTGTCAATTGTGCTACACGTACACACGCCCCTGTATATGTGTCCACATTTTTTTATTAGGCGTGGCTCCTCCCTCGTGTGAGAAGCATATTAACGTCGATATACAAATAGTAAAATTCAATGTATTATTCCTTTTGTATAGAGAATAAATTTACAGAAGTTCTACAGGGTTCTCACATTGGATGAGCTCCATATGAATATTTTATTGCATAAATTAAATCACTCGCCCTGCTGCTGTTGTGCATAATATGTACAATCACGTTACTCTATCAGGTTAAAAGTCTCGCAGGTCTTCTACAGCTATTAAAAAAACAATAAAAAAAACCCCAAATATAAAGGAAATAAAAGAACGGCTGGCCCTGTCTCTCATTATTCCTCCCCAAAACCCTACCCATCACCGAAGCACTAAAGCTTGTTGATCGCCGTTGCTTGTCATCTGTCCATCTCCAACCACTGGCGATCGGTGACTGACGACGATGATAGTATAACCGTGTCCATCTCGTTACCCATGACAAGAAAAATACGCAGCACCCCAAAACCATTCAGCCCCTACTTTCGATCGTAGTAAGCTCGTCGCCGTCTCCTCTCTTGCAGTAGCACCGGAGTCCTCATCTGGAAACCAGCATTATTCGTGATCTCTGATTGGGTGTAAGCATCAATTGGTTTGATTCGGTGTAAGCATCAAGTGGTTTAATCCTGCTGACATGAGCTATATGTGTGCTGGAATCAATTGTCCGTCGTAATTATATGAATTCATTCTATAATTAGAGGAAACTGGTTACTGTCAAATTTTGTATATATGGGAATATATATTTTCCTTTGGATAGGATTGTTTTCCTAATTTTAAGATGTAAACTGTATCTATATATTTGCTCTAGAAAGAGCTGAGTAACTAACTAAAAACCAAGTTTATTGGCACTATTGTCTTACATGGTATCAGAGCGGTTTCGATCTCCATAGAATCGCTCAAACAAGAATTAAATTTCTTATCGTTTTGAAGCCCGTACTCGAAAACTAAATGGCGAATCTCGACTCTGTTGTCCCAGCTACACCAAACAACACAACACCACCAAATATTATTCGCCAGGAATATTCTACCTTCCCCACTAACATTATACTGGATGAGACCAATTATCCATTATGGTCTCCACTTATGGAGATGCGTATTGGCGCCCGTAACAAAGATGGATATCTCACCAGAGAAACAAAAAAAACTGCACCCGATGATCCTATGTGTCGCAACATGGATCACTGAAAATCAAAGAGTGAAAAGTTGGCTGATTGTCTCAATGAGTTCGTTTCTAATGCAACGATTTATTCATCTTTCCACAGTCAAGGAAATATGGGAGGCTGTGTCAAAAACATTTTATGATGGATCTGATGAAACTCGTCTCTTTGAATTGAATCAAAAATCATTTTCTACCAGATAAGATGATAGACTATTGTCAACATACTACAATGAACTTATCGCTATTTTCCAGGAACTAGACCACATGACTGCATCTCAGGAAGGAACAGCTGAGGGAGTGGTTAATTACATTCAGCAATGATTAGACTTCGAGTCCATATTTTCCTAAGTGGACTTATGCTGAATTTGATTAGGTTCGTGGAGAAATATTACGAAAAGATCCAAAACTAGATTTGGAGAGCACATATGCATATGTGAGGAAGGAGTATCAACAAAGACGGACAATGAGGGGCTCTCGCCCCATCTCTGAACACTCGGCTATGCTGGCCAACCAAACAAGACAAGGACCATTACCTGGCTCGATGAAGAATCGTAATAATCTATCAACTGGAAAGTCTAACAATCATGTGTGTAACCATTGTAGTGAATCAGGTTATACAAAACAACATTGTTATGAAATCACTGGCTACCCCGAATGATGAGATTTTTCAAAAAAACGAAGAAAGAAGATTGTAGGGAAAGCTATGGTGACCAACGAAGTCCAGTCAAAGGTTGAAGATAAATCAAAACCTATGGCAAATATTACTCACCCCAGTATAATTGGTAAGGCAAATGCAACTTCTAAGAAAGATACTTGAATAATTGATACGGGTGCATCAGATCATATGGTCAGGGACTCTAGTAAATTACAATCCATTTGTTCATCTTCCCAATCTGTTATATTTACAGCTAATGGTAGTACCTCTATAATTACTGGAGAAGGATCTGTTACCTTATCTGAAACTCTTACATTAAATTCTGTCTTGATTGTCCCATCCCTTGAATATAATCTTTTGTCAGTAAGTGAAATTATCTCTACTCTTGCATGTATCGTAACTTTCTGGCCTTCATTTTGTGTTTTTCAGGACATTCTGACTTGGAAGATTCTTGGCTATGGTGTTAAACGAGGCAAACTCTATTTTTTAGAATTAACAGAAAATGGAAGACAGAAAGTCAGTCATGCATATCAAACTAGCAGTGAAGAGAAAGCTAGAGCAATTATATGGTTATAGCATCGTCGGTTGGGTCATTTGGATATCTTAGAAAATCAAAGCTGCACCTTTTTTCAGTTTTAAATGATTCTAATTTCCACTGTAATATTTGTGAACTAGCCAAAAGTCGCTGTGTTCCTTATTTACCAAGTTCGAATAAAAGTTCAGAACCTTTTGCTATTATACATTCAGACATATGGGGACCTGCAAAAATTCCTTCTATGTCTAAGGCTTGTTACTTTGTTACGTTTATTGATGAATGTACAAGAATGACTTGGGTGTCGTTGCTTCACAAAAGGAATGATGTTTGTATAGCATTTCAAGAATTTCATAGTATGGTGGGCACTCAATAGCATAAACAATTTCGTGTTTGGCAAACTGATAATGCAATGGAGTTTTTAGATACATATTTTGAAAAGTTTCTAAATCAACATGGCATTCGACATCAGACTTCTTGCACCTGTACCCCACGACATAATGGTTTGGCGGAAAGGAAGAATAGACAAATACTAGAAGTGGTTCGTGCTTCTCTCTTTGGCATGAACATGCCTAAATTCTATTGGGGAGAAGCTGTAAAATCCGCTGTATATCTAATCAATCGCTCACCCTCCCGAGTGATAGATTTTCAAACCCCGCAACAAAAGATGCAATATTTACTTTCAATTATCCATCTTCCAAACCTTGAACCTAGAATCTTTGGTTGTACAGTATTTGTTCACATTCCTAAACCTTTACGAACTAAACTTGATCTATGTGCAAAACGATGTGTCTTTGTCGGCTACTCAGATTTTCAGAAAGGATATTGGTGTTATGATCCTCAAAATCAAAAATTACATGTAACTTTAGATGCTTCTTTCCATGAATCAGAACCATATTATTCAGAGAAAGTTCCAGCAACTTCAGTGCAAAGGGAGAATTCAAGTGAAGGAATATGTTACAACAACATGTTGATAGTAGAGGAGAAACTGGCAAAGGAGATGATTTTTTAGAACGCGGAGAAGTGAATGAAAGAGTTGGGAAAAGTGGTCAACAAATTTGTGATAACATTCATGAGGTGTTAGTGTATACAGAAAATGGGTCAGAGTTACCAATGAATATAGAGTTGCCTATGTTAACACCATTAACTGAAGAATCTGGTCAGAATGTCAAAGAATCAGGTCAGAATGTTGATCCTCAGGTAATCTCAAACCCCATATCTGATTATTCTGGTGAGACAAATGTTATATCTAAAGAACCTCTTATTCTTCTTGAAAATTTAACTCCAAGATATCCACAAAGATCAAATAAAGGTATCCCAAAGAAACAATATGAACCTGAACCTAAAGCCAAAGTTAAATATCCAATCAATAATTATGTCTCTACTCATAGATTAGGTGAATTGTATGCAATGGCTGTTAATCAATTATCCAATGTATCTATTCCTACTAGCTTGTAGGATGCTTTGGCAGATCCAAAATGGACTAAGGCAATGAATGAGGAGATGGAGGCCTTACACAAAAGAACTCCACATGGGAACTTGTTTCTTTACCCGAAGGAAAGAAAGTAATCAGATGTAGATGGGTGTTCACCGTAAAACTTAAAGTGGATGGAAGCATTAACAGATATAAAACGAGGTTAGTTGCAAAGGGGTATACACAAAAGTATGGGGTAGATTACCAAGAGACTTTCGCACCAGTAGCTAAGCTTGATATAATTCGTATACTCATATCCATAGCAGCAAATTGGGAGTGGCCTCTACAACAATTTGATGTTAAGAATGCATTTCTCAATGGAGAATTAGAGGAGGAAGTGTACATGGAGCTACCACCAGGTGTGAAATATTGTTCTTCGAGTGGAAACAAAGTTTGTAAATTGAAGAAATCGTTATATGGGCTCAAACAATCACCTACAGCCTGATTTGAGAGATTCTCTTCTGCGATGAGGACATTTGGTTATAAACAAAGCGGTTTAGATCATACAATATTTATAAAACTTAAAGAAGGGAAGGTAACAACTTTAATTGTCTACGTTGATGATATGGTCTTGACAGGAGATGATCCAGGAGAAATGAAGTTGTTACAAGAATATTTGGCCATTGAATTCGAAATGAAGAATTTAGGACAACTTAAATATTTCGTAGGAATTGAAATAGCAAGATCAAATAGAGGGATATTTATTTCACAACGAAAATATGTGTTAGATTTTTTGTCTGAAATTGGAATGCTTGCTTGCAAACCAGCTGCAACACCTATAGAAATGAATCACAAGCTTGGAATTTTCCCAAATCAAGTTCCAACAGATATAGGGCGTTATCAACGTTTGGTTGGAAGGTTAATTTACTTGTCACATACAAGGCTAGACATAGCCTATGGTGTAAACATTGTAAGTCAGTTTATGCATGCGCCAAGTGAAAAACATATTGATGCAGTATATCGAATCCTAAGATACTTGAAACGTTCTCTAGGAAAAGGCTTATTATTCTCAAGGAATGATGGCTTGAACATTGAAGGGTATACAGATGCCGACTGGGCAGGCGATCAAACAACCAGAAAATCTACATCTGGCTACTTCACTTTTGTGGGAAGTAATCTTGTTACAAACAGAAGGTTGTTGCAAGATCATGTGCAGAAGCTAAATTCCGAGGTATGGCTCATGGCGTATGTGAGCTGTTATGGATTAAAGGTGTTCTAAAGGATTTGGGGATTGAATATACAAAACCTATGAAGCTTCATTGTGATAATAAGTCAGCTATTGAGATTGCACAAAATCCTGTACAACATGGCCGTACTAAACATGTTGAAGTTCATCGTCATTTTATCAAGGAGAAGTTGGATCAAAAGATTATACAATTCCCATTTATTAAGTAAAAAAAAAACAATTAGCTGATATACTTACAAAAGCAGTTTTAGAAAGGGGATTCCAAGATATAATTAACAAGTTGTGCATGATCAATATTTATGCTCCAACTTGAGGGAGTGTGTTGACATGAGCTATATGTGTGCTGGAATCAATTGTGTGTTGTAATTATATGAATTCATTCTATGATTAGAGGAAACTGGTTGCTATCAAATTTTGTATATATGGGAATATATATTTTCCTTAGGATAGGATTGTTTTCCTAATTTTAAGATGTAAACTATATTATATTTGCTCTAGAAAGAGTTAAGTAATTAACTGAAAACCAAGTTTATTGGCACTTTTGTCTTACAAATCCAAAATTAATTTTTCTTGCATCAATTGGTGATTTGTGATTCCGTTTTCGTTGAATCAACACTAACTTCTTTATTTTGGATTGATTATTTGTTGTTGATTCCATGGTACAATGGTAGCAAAAAATTCTGAAATTTGTGATGGTTGTAGAGGGAAGGAAAGGAAAAAATTCTAGGATCAGTGTAGGAGGAAACGCCAATGCCCGGATTGTGGGGGGAAAACAAGTAAGAAGTGGTGAATTTCCCTCCATTTTCTAAGAATTCCAATGTTGCCTTATTTATTGACACGTATTCTATTTTTTTATTACCGTAAGAAGTCTGTGAAGAGGAGCCTTGTAAACAACATTATTCGTAAAAATTTTCAACTCTATTGTGTGTACAGCAAGTTTCGTATAAAAGCCTGCCAGAACACACACATAGGGGGTGGGTAAGGGTATTTTTTGATAATTTTTTATTCATGATGGATTCCACACGAGTAATTTCACCAAATTATGTGGAAATTTTTCTGTATAAATGGCTTAATACAAAATTTTTCTCGCTACGAGTAGACTGGTTCAAATTCAGAGGAAATACCTTCATATAGCCTAAATATAAGAGTAGTTTGTAAGATTAGACTAAAAAATATAATCATTTGAAGAATAGCCTTTAAACAATAATTTTTCCATAAATATCCCTCATAAAGAATTTGCAACCAGAGCCATTACAATGTATAAAAACCTTCAATTAGGTTCTCAGAGAAATATAGATCATAAATTTTTAATAAAATTAAATTCAAATATTATACAAAATTTTATTGATCTAAGCAATGCAACAAATAATGAATTAAATTATTCAAAAGAATATCTAAAAAGTTTCTTTACCGAATATTTAGATCCAAAATTAAAACATAAAAATGTTTATATAGATAAAGGAGCAATCAAAATCAAAAATGATATACATAAAATAATTCTTAACCTGGAAAGAAGAATTAAAAAATTAAATATAATTATTGAAGAAAAAATCTTAACAAAAGATAGTGAATTTTATAAATTCTATTGTGATATTTTAAATACTTATGAAGATTTTAATTGGCTCAAAAATCTTAACCCCTCCGCTGAACACTCCGACGAAATGGTATCGGAGCCATGTTACGAACCAAAAATTATGATGAACATAGTAGATGAAGAAAAATATAATTAAAGAATTTTTGAAAAAAGTTGAAAAACATAAAAAGCCTAGTTATTCCTATTTACCTAAAAATACTACAAATGAAAGTTTTGAGGATATATATAAAAGACTAGAAAATTTAGAACATAATCTACAAGTAGGAAATGCTCTTTTAGATAAAAAATTTTAAAGGAAAATATAGGATTATTATTAATCCACCTCAAGATTTTAGGATAACACAAAAAGAAAATAATAAAGGGAAAAGACATGAAAAAAACAATATATGATTACAATGTAGAAGAAATAGAACAAAAATTCTTAGAATCTACTGGTGAAGAATATGATGAATATAAAAATAGTTAGAAGAATTAACTGAAAAAATGAAAAATACTAAAATGAATACTAATCCATCATCAAGTCGAAGTATAAAAATAGAATTTAGTAGTGATGAAGAATATGATTATCCTTATAGTACTACTGTACCTCTTAATGAAGGTATTAATCAATATAGAAAAACACAAAAAAGATACACTGGAAATATAAGAAAACAATCCATAAAAGAAATAAATCCAATGAAATCTTATAATGAACCAATCCACACAACAGGAGTATGGTTAAATCTAAACTGTGTAGATAAAAATAAAGCTATTGAAATATGGATGAAAAGTACAGACTTAGCAATACAATTTAATAAATGGAAAACATATACAACTTTTGAATTTATAGAACATACATTTAGAGGAATTGTTTCTGAATGGTGGAGAAAGTTACCAGAATTTATAAAAGGAAGAATAAAATATGGAAATAATAGAACCGAAGTATTAGATAATACGAATACTTTAAATGATCAAAATATATAGGAGATATTAAAAAGGTTCGAAAAAATCTTAAGAACAGAGTTCTTAGGAGATAGATATGCTTCTAATGAAGAAGAAAGAAAACAAGATGAATATAATGAAGGAATGATAGCAATGAAAAACTTAAAAATATGTGATATGTGTGAATTAGAAAGATATACATGTAAATTTGAAAAATTATATTATATATTAAACCAATGAGATTATCAAGAAAATAAACCTATATTAAGGTCTTATTTTACTAAGTTACCATTCCCATGGGGGAATTAACTTATTAAAAGAATATGAAAAATTATTACCTCTAGGAGAAGAGGAAGGAGTAAAAATAGATAGTTTTGGAAGTAGAATTGAATTTACAAAAAGAATGATAGGCATGTGGTGCAAAGAAGCTCTTGAAAATAAGAAAGCATATAAAATAAGAAAAAAATTTATGCTGTTACAAAGATATTGGCCAAGTTGAACAATTTGGATGCCATAAAAAGAAATATAAACCATATAAAAAATCAAAAACTACAAAAAATTTAAGAAAAGAAATTTTAAACCACAAAAAAAATATTTCAAGAAAAGAAATTGGAATAAAAAATTTAAACCAAGAAATATTAAAAAATGTAGATGTTTCATTTGTAATGAGGAAGGACACATTGCCCCTCAATGTCCTAAAAAGAAAGATAGACAGAATATAAAAACTCTTAGAATTTATGAAGAATTCCAATAAGATAGTGATATAGAACCAATTAAATACTTTGGAGATCTAAGTAGTGAATGCATTAGCATTTATGAATTAGATACATCCTCATCTGAGGAAAAATTTAAGGAAATAGTATATATGAACAAGAGATACAACACGCAGATCTAGAAATAGAAGTAGAAACAACTGAAAAAGTTGAAGATTCGATAGATAGTATAAATCAAGAAATTACCTTTGATATTAAAAAATACAAAGGAATAACCAATAAAATATTAGACCTACAAGAAAAAGATGTATTCCATCAAGAATTCTTAGGAATATTACCAAGAGTAAATAAAACAATTGTAAGTATGAATTATAAAGAAATGTCTATCAATATAGAACATACTATAGGAAAAGTAAGAATTCCTATAATTACAAAAGAATGGGTAAAACAAAAATTATCCAAAATTCCAGAAAATGTAAGAAACAAATTAAAATGTATTAAAATAGGAGGAATCCAGATAATAATAAAAGGATTTTTTAGAGAAGGTATAAATATACCAATAGAAATATATTGTATGAACAACAGAATCTTACAAGATCCTATAGATGCTCTATTAGGAACATTTGTAGGAAACTTAGTTTATCAGAAGATAATATTTACAGTAAAACCAAATTTAGCAATATCATTAAATGATGAAAATATTGACCAAAGTTTCAATCTATATTATAAAATTGAAAACTTGAAAATGTTACGAAGAAGTAAGGCTATTATTATAAGTATAAAATCAATTTTTGCTTTTAATACTAGCCATCACAACAATTTAAGAAAAATAACTGATAATATTATCATACATAAAGATTTTGAGGAATTAGCACAATATATACCTCATAGGAAATACCAAGAACATTAAGTTACTATACCAGAACAAATAATGCTTGATTTCCACAAGCAAGCTAGAGAATTTAATTCTGAAGGAAAACTAATAAGAAGAAATAGTGTCAGCCTAGAAGGAGATAATCTCATTGCAAGATTCCCCTGTATACAAGATTCTAGGATAAGCAAACTTAAGAATTTAAGTATTGTTAAACCATCAAGTTCGCAATATTACATTAAGACGAGATATGTAAATCAAGAAGGATATAAGAAGAATCTTCTTGTCCTTATAGATACTGGAGCAGATAAAAGTCATGTTAATGCTAAATTTGTTAGCCATTTAATAGACTCTGAAATACCAGAACCATATGTATTTAATGATTATTTAGGAAATAATCTTGAAATAAGAAAATATGTAAAGTTCCCTCTCATACTTATAGGGGAAGATCAGAAAGAATATACTAAAGAAATAATTCTATATAAGGATGAATTGTATGGAGTTGATCGTTTACCTATTCTGTTAGGAATGAACTTTTTTGAGAAATATAGTCCTTATAAAATTTGTCAAGGATATTTAAAAATAACAATTGATGATAATCCAATCATCATACCAAAAATAGATGAAAAATATGAAATCATTGTTATCATGGAAAGAATAATAAGTACTAATCCTATGAGTCCATATATTGAAATAATACTCAATATAAAAAGTTATTGCAGAATTAAATTCCATGCTTACTTAGATACAGGAAGTACAATAAGCTTATACTTATCAAATATACTACCATCTGTATACTGAAAATATAATTCAAAAAAGATAGTCACCGCTACAACAGCAGGTGGAAATAAGATAGTATACAGCAAATATGTTACGCAAGTACCTTTTCTAATTTCATTTAGAGAAGTATTTGTTGATACTATATATATGTCAAACACAATTGGATGTGATATTTTATTAGGACAAAATCTTCTATTAAAATATGCACCATTTACACAATATATTGATAAATATATGTTCACAACACCTTATGTACAGAAAATATTTACACCAAAAATAAATAAAGATGTTACCATTGCATACACAAACATAAACCATCGGAGTTCCTCA